CCAGTAACCCTCAACATCTGTATTTTATCTATAACGTAAAATTTTTTAAAATTTTGTGTATGTACATGTACATTACTTTTATTGCAGGAAAAAGAAGACCTTTATGATCATGAGGAGTATAACCTCAAAAGCATCATACAGTCACTCAAGGAAGAACTTCATAAAGAGACAAAGTCAAGAAGGATCTTTCAAAGCAAAGTCGCTGCAAATACGGAAGACCTAGAGAAAATGAAAGCCGAGCACAGACGACAGTTTGAGAAGGTGACACTGGAATCGGCTGAAGCAGACGCTAAAAGAAGTGAAGGGACTGAAGTAGTTGAAGAATTAATGCAAAAATTGAAGCAAATCAAAGAAGTCGAGGGTCAGTACTTTCATACTATAATAGTGAAAAGTACTTTATTTAAATAGATGACTTAACTGCTAAGCTAAAAGCATTGAATGAAGAGATTGAAACACTGGAAAAAGAAATGGGAGACAGAATTAATATTCTGACACCACAAGTAACATAATTATCATCTCCTTTTTATCTTCCATTTTTACAATTAATCATGTAGAATACAGAGCTTGAAGTGACTGCAAAAGAAAAGAAAAGCAGATTAAAGGACGTCAAAGAAAAGATTGCTTATTTTAATGAGAAATTAAGGGACACTCATACAAGCCAAATGACTGTGGACAGGATGAGAGGAGAAATAGAGAAAGGGATAGAAACATTTTCGTAAGCTGTAACAAGTAACTTTTAATGTTTTATGCATGTTTTAGATTACAGAAAGCTGAGCTCGAGGAGAGATTGGCTGAAGAAGAAGAGATAGAAAAGTCATGGCAACTTGAATTTGAAGAAATATCAAACTTCTCTCAAACATCAGATGAAAAATATGAAACCTACACTCAAGTATTTATAAATTACTGCACAATTCATTAACATTTTAATGTACCATATAGCATGCAAATGCTTCTTTTAAATGTAACATTCACAAAATTTAAAAATTTGATAGGAAAGAGAAGAGCTTTTCAGTTACTTGGATAGTGAAACAAGCTCTGCTTTATTAACAAACAGAGAATTGGCATCAGCTTATGAGGAATGGCGAGACAAGCATGCCAAAACAAAGAGAGGAGCACTGAGATCAATGGAAAGGAAACTAGTGCTAGAAACAGCAATGAAAGATAAAGTACAGGTAAAGATTAAAGGACTAATGTTTGCATTAGAATAGCTCAAAATTAATACTTATCATTGTTTTCTGCAGTTACATGCTCTGCAATCGAAACTGAATCAAACTCTACAGGCTCACTATCAGCATAGAGGCAATACTGGTAGACAAGCTATTAAATCAGTCAAGATGACAAGGAGCAACACTATAAGTATTATATCAGGAATAGATGCTGAGCTAGACCAATTGTTGAAGGAAATGAAGAGCTTTCTAGACAGATTTGACGAGGAGCAGATAGCTTTAATACAGAAAGGCCAGGAACCAGAGTCAGCACAGGATAGTGATGGAATATTTTCAAAAATGACAAAATCAACTAAAAATAAAGATAAATCAGTTTCATTTGCAATACCTTTGGAATGTTCATAAACATAATAATAATTATTATAATTGCTATTATTTTCATTCATTCATTCATTCATTCTTTGTGTTATTGGGCTGCCCACGTGCATAAACGTGGATAGCAACGAAGCCCCGCCTACATTCTTAAAGTTTAAAATGGCCCCGCCCTAGTATCTACTTTGTAGCTTGAAGACACAATCGTAGACAACAACACTTCCTTCTCTTGTTATCCTCACTTTAAATACGACCCGTTGTATTCCCATGGCCACTACGTACACCTACCCAAGTGTCGGTGAGTCTCTGCAGCAGCGGCATCGCTCGCAAAGTGACTCGAATCTACTCACGGCTGGAAGTACCGAGTCTTCCCCTGGCGACCCTGAACGTGGAGCTGAGGCAAACGGTATGCGAAGACTAGGAAGCATGGGGGACATCTCCCCAGCTAAAGCGAGCCACCAAAAGAAGAAAGGGTTCTTTCACAAACTGGTCAGACCCTGGAAATGGCGAAAGAGAGGAAAGAGAGGAGGAGGAGAGAAAGGTACTACACTCATGTATTGTAATTTGTAGCTATACTTGTGTGTCATTGACTTCAAAAGGGAGTGTATATGGGAAGTGATTGGTAGAAATAAAAGAATGATTTTAATTACTTTGTTGCTGTATTTAGTACCTATGGCTTGAGGGACGTATGGTGCGAGACTGCGTTTACACGGCAACCAAAAGAAAAGGAAGCATCCGTACAGTTTTGTGCCTGTTTTATGCTTCTGTAGCTGTTTACACAGAAGCAAATGAAAATGTGATAGAATCTCGATAGGACTTTATAAACGGTGTTATAGGTTTAAAAATGATGCTCGCTGTGTAAACGCAGCCTGAAAATACACGATAGCTTGTACTTAGGTATCTATGATGAATCTTTTAGGCAGAGATGTGTCTCATTGCTTGCTCTTAAAGAGAAAAGATGAGAGAAGTATTTATAGTATATCAGTGCATTTTTATGATCTAAAAGCATGAAACTAAGTAGGAAATGAATGACATCAGAAAGAAAGTATTATAATATAATAATGAAGGAACTGTTGAGTGATTTAGTGTGAGCTTAAGCTTTCAGAATGAATCTAAGAAAAGGGAGGAGGTACATAAGTACATATATGCTGATATAAATTGATGCATGTCCAGCTTACAAGACTCACACAAACAGTAAACAGTCACTGGAACTATCTAAGGAAAGTGTGTATAAAGAAACAGTGAGAAAGAGAGAGAGTGAAGACAAATATTGTGGAGAAATGGTCAAATTTGTCCAGAGGACAGGAAACATGATATAACTGTTGTTGTCCTTTTATAGTCATACACTTCAGACACACACATAGACACTCTAAGAGAGCACACACACACACACACACACACACATACTCACATACTTGCCATATAGATACAAACACACTGTGAGGCCATTAGCTAAATAAGAATGTGTGTAGCATATAATGTAAATTCTAGTGCTCTGTCTCTCCCCCCATCTGTCTCATGCCCACATTAGCCCATCACAGTCCATTGCACTATGTCATGTCTACCAAATTCGGGCGTGTGTTAATTCACCGTTATAATTCATTGTGGACAGCCCTCATTTGCAGTATTGCTGTACTTGTTTGTTCTCCATTGGATGCCATATGGCTTGTGCTGGGGCTGGCTGGTTGTTGTGCATTACTCTCTGTTGATTTATCTCCTGCAGAATAGATACATTTTATAGGATTTGTGTTTATCATTCGTGTTTGCATGTGCATGGTTTGTTTAGTTAAGTGTCGAAGTATCGTTTGTATTATTTTAACTTATCTCTTTCCTCATACCTCCTCTCTCTCTCTCCCCCTCTCTCTCTCTCTCCCTCTCTCTCTCTCCCCCCCCCCTCTCTCTCTCTCTCCCCTCTCTCTCCTCCCCCCCTCTCTCTCTCTCTCCCTCTCTCTCTCTCCCCCCTCTCTCTCTCCTTTCATCAGGAATACCTAGGACTGATATTGTTAGTAGTTATTCACAAGAAGAGTTACCAGTTCCGTCATGTAAGTATCAATTACATGTACATGTAGATGTACATGTACATGTACATGTACATTGTATGTATTCACTCAAAAGTCATGCATCCTAGCATGCAGTGATGTATGCATATATAGCCTCACCCAATCTCATTTTCTAATTTGCTAATTTGCTGTTATTTACGGAATGTGACCCGTTGTAAGGCATATATGGCGTTTTTATTAATTATTACTTTTCACTTTGTACGTGTAAGTGAGATCTTTTGTGATTCTGTTGCTAATTGTATTGCAATGGAAACACTACTCTTATATCTATTGCTTGCAATTAAAATTCTTTTATAATTATCTCTCTCACTTTCTCTCATTCCCCCCTCTCTCATACCTCTCTCTCTCTCTCTCTCCCTCCCTCCCTCCCTCCCTCCCTCTCTCCCTCTCTCTCTTTCTCTCTCCCTCCCTCTCTTTCTCTCTCCCTCCCTCTCTCTTTCTCGCCCTCCTTCTCTCTTTTCCTATAGCATCATATTTAGCGGTAGAGATGAATAATGATTTCACTGTCCCTCCCCCTCGTCTCCCTCACCCCACAACCTCTCCACCTCACAATCCTGTCCATTCAGATCTCATGCACTCTTATCCACCTGCACCCAACAGTGCCCCACTCCCCCTACACAAACACATGAATGGCCCATCTCTCTCAATGGACATTAACAACAAGCACAGGTGAGTATACTAGAATATACTGAAGATTACTATTACACCATGAATTTGAATACAATTAACAAGTTCTTTTTATTATACGTGTGTGTATCTATTATTAGTACTGTGTTTCCTAACTTGGACAAATCTGCTCTGCTTTTGTGCCAAGGAATTTTCAATTTTTATAGCCTCACTTCTATACTAGTACACATACTCCTGCAAAAAGCTAAACCATTGTTTGTGGAGTTCTCTATCCCATTACATGTACATGTACATTTAAGTGTACATGTACATACATGTAGCCCTGCGTATGTATACCACATTGTAATGATGTAATGACGTACTATAGTTAATGCATTATAATCCACTGATATCATATTGATATATATTCTTGGTATCATCATAATCAAATAGTGCATTTATTACCACTAATCGTATATACATGTGCATGTACACATGCAGTCATGTACATATTTTATTTTATTTATTTTATAATTTGAAACCCTTAGACGGTCCGGTGAGTTAAAGGTAGCCCAAAGGAGCAGTATTGATGTGCCTCCTCGTGAGAACAGGAGAGAGAGCACTCCACCGTATGCAGCTGGAAAGAAAGAAAGTGAACCAACTGTACCACCAAAGATTACTGATATGAGAAATCTAAAGGTAGGGAGAGAGAGAGAGAGAGAAGGAAAGAGAAAGAGGGAGGGAGAGATAAAGAGAGAGAGAGAGAGAGAGAGAGAGAGAGAGAGAGAGAGAGAGAGAGAGAGAGGGAGGGAGAGAGAGAGAGAGGGGGGGGGAGAGGGAGAGGGAGAGAGGTCTTGAGGTGTTGATGAGTATTTTTGGCTCTGTCTTAATTGTTATTAGTCTTTTGTAGGTTTATATTGTATTAAATATGCATTTGTTGCTTAATGTGGCGGCTATTAGTCACGTTAATATGAATTACTAAAGTTAAACAAACCGTATATTGTTATTGTAAAGTGAGAGGGTGTAGGGATAGAATGGATGATTGATTGATATCACAAGGAGGAGAGAGAATAGCTAGGGAAATACTAAGAATGGAATGGACAATGGAAGATTATTATTATTATTAAAAAAAAACAAAAAAACATGAACAAAAAAGAAATGACAATAACAAAGATGGAGCAACAATTAACTTTATTAATATCACGTGTTATTGATATTTTAGTATAAATAATCTAATGTACATAACGTGTACTTTGTATATAGAATGACTGCAGAGTCGCCTCATTAGTCATTATTGGTATTGTTAATTATTATTGTCATTATTATTATTATAATTACAGGAGTCGCCCCCTCCAGCCAGTCCCAGAAGTATATTAAAAGGAGGTGTCATGTACGATACTGATGCACACAAGAAACCAGCTGGACCAGTTGTTACTGCAGTGGTTACTCCTCCTGGAGGACCACCAGTAGCTCCTAGGAAATCCAGTCCATTATATCAAGGGAGACAAGCCTCACCACCTGTAAGAGGGAGAGAGAGAAGGAGGGAGGAAGAGAGAGAGGGAGGGGAGAGAGAGAGGGAGGGAGAGAGAGAGAGAGAGAGAGAGAGAGAGGGGGGGGGAGGAAGAGAGAGGGGAAAGGAGATACATGTAGGAAGTGAAAGTGTTGATAAGGAGACTCTAGGCAAACATTCACCTTAGCTACAATCAAATGATAACATTAATTGAGTATCACTTTCATTACACATTTCCCCTCACCCTTAGGTCACTACCATACCTCCCCCTGAGCTCCTCCCTCCTCCCCCCGGCCCTCGTAGACGGCCCCAGCAGCAGAGTGACTCCAATTATGTTGTGTATTCACCGAATGATGATGAGTCCAGCTCAGAAGAGGACAATGTTGATGGAGACGAGTATAACGATGATGATGAGGAAGACGAAGAACCAGAAAGTATGTGCACACATACATGTACATACATAGTATATCTTTGCATATCTTAGTATATCTTAGTATATCCCTGTAAACTATACACTTATTTATTGTTGGATGTACATTGTATATTCAAAGTGATAGCGAAAATTGTCCCAGCAAGCTTTTAAAGTTAAACCTTACATATTTAAGTTTTGTCTTTGTCGTTTTACATGTACATGTACATATACATGTAATTGTGTATTATAACTGGTAGCAATGATAATATTTTCATTTGTTTTTATTGCTTTAGTGTTTGATCATTCCAACTAATGATATAGCTTTTATGACTTGCTTTCATTTTTTATTTGTTATTATTGTAGTCGATCTTTATTACATTTTCTGACATATACTTATATTGTGTAGAAAGTTTGAACTGATTCCGATCAAGTTTGGATTTTTCATGCATTTTGAAATTGCTCCAAAATCTGGCCAAAATCCCTGTCATGATCAAATTTTATCAAAAATGTAGAATTCTCCATAATTACTATCACTTTCTGATGCATATGACATTATGACTTGCTTTATTTTTATAGTGGGAGGCTTTTCTAAAGTATTGCGACACGACTCCGTGGCTATATTAAGAGAAAGAAGAAAGAATGAACCAATTACAAGTAAGTTTGAATGTATATACGATGTAGTTGGATGTACGCAAACTACATGTACATCTTAATAGTTTTATGTGTATGTACACGTACATTTACTCATTTTGAATGTGTGTGTGTCCATCATTCATAAGGATGTGGTGTGCGCTTTCATGCGTATGTACATGTACATAGATGTACGTGAACGCATTCTTGATGATTGATGTGTGTATGTTTCTTTCACTCACTCTCTCTCTCTCTCTCTCTCTCTCTCTCTCTCTCTCTCTCTCCCTCCACCCCCTCTCTCTCTCAATAGCCCAGACAGCAGAAACAAAAGCAGTGGTTGAAAAACAACTAGAAAGGTACACCATTAGGATATAATCCTACACACTACATGTATATGCCATTCAATCTGTATATTTATGTATGCTTTTGCGTGTTTACTAAATGTATTGTACTACAGTAGCTGCTATAGTGTCATATCTACTTGTATTGTATAGTCATATTCTTGTGCTAATGATACCATATCCAGTAGCAGATCATGAACACATTCACATAGTCATCAGCCAAATATACTAAATATCAGTTGATTGTTGACATCACTCCCTCTCCATTTTTATTTTTATTTTCCTTTTGCTCTTATCTGTCTCTGCCTTCCCTTCCTCTCTCCCTCTCTCCCTCTTTCTATTCTTGTCACAGGCGGTTGAGTTTAAGGCCACCAAGACATGAGCTAGAAGCAAGAAATATTCTTAAAGGTAAGAAAGACTTATTAGTGTTTGTTTTATAGTCCTAATCTCCATTTCCTCATGCCCTTACTTTACCATGTTTCATTATTATTGAATGTTGTCTTGATGTCTTCTTTTTCTTGCTGTCTCCCTTCCTTTCTCTTTCTCCTCTCTCTCTCTCCCCCTCCTCTCTCTCTCCCTCTCTCTCTCCCTCTCCCTCTCTCTCTCTCTCTCTCCCCCTCCTCTCTCTCTCTCTCTCTTAAGGCAAAGCAAACACTCAGAGAGAGCTCGAGTTAGAGGAGATGAAAGCTAACTTGACAAGAAAAGTGAGTCTTGTCTTCATTGTACTACACGATGTAGTTAAGAGTGTACACTTGTTATGATACAACTACCAATACACATTGAACATGTTTCCTTAATTTGACGATAAATACATGTACATGTGTTTCATGTACATAGTTTACACAAATATCAGAGTATTAATATTATCCTTTGATAAAATTATGTGTCCTTTTCAAGTATTTGAATTTATCTTTGAAGCCTTCTTTAATGAATGATAATTTGAATAGTTGATGATTTGAACACTTTGTTTACTCACAGCATATTCCAGTGTATGTGTATGTGTATTGGGAGCTTCTGTACATCTCTGTACGTCTTAAATATTCATTTTAATGTTATGTGTGATTGGTATACTGATATGGTGTTGCGTGTTAATGATATTATGTAATAGTGACATCTGTCAATATTCTGTTGAATTGATGTTGACATCATTCCTTGAATAACACATATTTTAATGTCTCCTCTCTCTCTCTCTCTCTCTCTCTCTCTCTCTCTCTCTCTCTCTCTCTCTCTCTCTCTCTCCCTCTCTCTCTTTTATATTTCTCTCCTATCCATCTAGCTAAGTCGTAGGCCGACAGTCAAAGAGTTAAGAGAAAGAAATATTTTGTAAGAGAGATGGTACATGTATCCGTACATCTTTTATTTTGTTTGTTATTATTTTAGGAAATTTGCTGAATATGCTGAAGTGGTTGAATGTGAAGACTATGATAGAAGGTAAATACATGTACATGTTTTATGATGCATGCACTCATCAAATATTTATTACCGTAGACCCCCTTTTTGAGGGCTATAAATTTAGTGGATATATAATTTGCTGTATTAAATTTCGCAATGTTTATCCCCAATTCGAATTTTCCATGTCCATACAATTAATTCGAGGAATTAATTTTTGCAAGTAGCAAAAAAATCCGCAAAATATATAGCGCTCGAAAAAGGCTCTTTACGGTACCTTATTTATTTATTCATTCATTTATTTATTTATTTATTTATTTATTTATTTATTTATTCATTTATTTATTCATTAATTTATTTATTTATTTATTTTTAGAGCTGATAAGCCATGGACCAGATTGAGGCCAGAGGACAAGGCTGCCATTAGAAAGGAACTGAACGAATTCAAGAAAATGGAAATGGAAGTTCACCCTGACAGCCAGTACATGACAAGGTAGGATAAAAATTAAGAATAAAACAGAAAAATTTGATCATGAAATTCTAAAAAAAATAAGTGTTTGATTCTGAATATTAGTTTTCTACTAATGAATATTCTTGTTGTCACTGGTGGCCAAGTTGTCTAAATGCTTGCTTGCAATTTTAATTTCATTAGTCAAAAGGTCCTGGGTTCGATTCCCAAGTTGCTCTTTATTTTTTTTACAAAAATTTCTAATACAGCACATTATAGCCTGGTATTGTAGGCATACATTGTTGAATTACCTTAAGGCCACTATTATTTGCGAGTACTAATTTTTGCGATTTGTTAATGGTACTGATTTAGCGAGTACTAATTTTTGCGATTTTGCTCTTTTTTCCCAATTAATAACTGTTAATAAACCTAAATTATTAATAAATGCGAGTACTAATTTTTGCGATTTTAAAGCTACTCGCAAAAAACGCAAAAATTAGTACTCGCAAATAATAGTGGCCTTAAGGTAGTTCTATAGAATGTACAGTACATGTATATGTTCAAAAAATAATGTATTTTTTACATTTTCTTTTTTCAGATTCCACAAACCGTAAGAGTGTGACTAATGAAATGAACTCATTCTCAGTGTACCGACACTTCAAAAAGCAATCTCTTTCCTTCCTCCATTTCACTTTATGTCCCTCCCCCTCTCCCTCTCTCTCTTTTGAGTGTTTTATTATATAAAATATTATGTGTGGCATTAATGTTCATTATTTTTAACCCTAATATGTACTCCAGTAAAATTTATTGTTATTGTTATTGTTGTTATTATTATTATTAATTTATTATTGCAATGTAGGTGTATATGTGATAAATATTAATGTTTGTAATTATAATGTGTAGAATAATTAATAATTTATTGTTAAAAATAATTTTATTTGTGAGCTATAAAAATTTTATTTGTGAGCTATAATTCTGTAATTATTTCCGTTTCAGGAGCAAAGAAGGCAGTATTGTCATCGAAATAAAATTACAAATTATAATTAATTTTATTACAATAATCTCTCTCTATCATAAAAAGGTCATTTATTCAATATCTTAATTGTGTTTCTGTGTGTTCAAAGGGAAGTGTATAGTTTTTTTGTCACATGAGATTGATAAGTTCTTGTGAGCTTGGAGTTGTTTCTCTCTCGCTACTCTGGCCTCTGTCTGACGAAGATGCTGAGCGCTTACGAGCAGTTGTTGGTTTCTGCATCAGGGATATGTCTGAAAATAAATTAATAGAAAGCAAAATGATTAATAAAAGAAAAACGTGTCTTTATATTATGTATTAGAAAACAAAATTAAAGTTGAAACTCCTCTTTGTAAAATATGGAAAATACAATTATCATTAATATAAAACCATGGGCTATCCTTTGGTTTTTTTTTCAAAAATTGGCTTGTTTATAAAATGCTCATAACTCGAAAAATACTTAGCAAAAACAGCTCAAACTTTCTACATAGCATAAGAACATCAATATGTATAAGAAAATGTAATAAAAATTTGGGGTGATTTCGGAGCCATTTTTTGGAAAAAACCATGGGCTATAGCCTTGGGTATTTTTCAGAATTTTGGCATTTTCTTAAAATGGCTGTAACTTTAAAAATTGAAGTCAGAATCACCTCAAACTTTCTACACAGCATAAGGACATCAATATGTACCAGAAAATGTAATAAAAATTTGGAGTGATTTTGGAGCCATTTTTTGGAAAAAACCATGGGCTAGCCTTGGGTAATTTTCAGATTTTTGACATTTTCTTAAAATGGCCGTAACTCAAAAAATTGAAGTCGGAATCACCTCAAACTTTCTACACAGCATAAGGACATTAATATGTACCAGAAAATGTAATAAAAATTTGAAATGATTTCGGAGCCATTTTTTGGAAAAAACCATGGGCTATAGCCTTGGGTATTTTTCAGATTCTTGACATTTTCTTAAAATAGCCGTAACTCAAAAAATTGAAGTCGGAATCACCTCAAACTTTCTACACAGCATAAGGACATCAATATGTATCAGAAAATGTAATAAAAATTTGGGGTGATTTTAGAGCCATTTTTTGGAAAAAACCATGGGCTATAGCCTTGGGTATTTTTCAGAATTTTCGCATTTTCTTAAAATGGCCGTAACTCAAAAAATTGAAGTCGGAATCACCTCAAACTTTCTACACAGCATAAGGACATCAATATGTATCAGAAAATGTAATAAAAATTTGAGGTGACTTTGGAGCCATTTTTTGGAAAAAACCATGGGCTATAGCCTTGGGTATTTTTCAGAATTTTCGCATTTTCTTAAAATGGCCGTAACTTGAAAAATATTTGTCAGAAACAGCTCAAACTTGCTACACAGCATAAGGACATCAATATGTATAAGAAAATGTAATAAAAAGTTGGGGTGATTTTGGAGCCATTTTTTGGGAAAAACCATGGGCTATAGCCTTGGGTATTTTTCAGATTTTTGACATTTTCTTAAAAGGCCGTAACTTGAAAAATTGAAGTTGGAATCACCTCAAACTTTCTACACAGCATAAGGACATCAATATGTATCAGAAAATGTAATAAAAAGTAGGGGCGATTTTGGAGCCATTTTTTGGAAAAACCATGGGCTATAGCCTTTTTTTTTTTTTTTTTTTTAGTATAGAAAAAGAATCTTTATTAGAAAAAGAAAACAGCACAAGTAGGGGACAAAATGAATTAAGTTAGAGAGAAAATAAATAAAATAAAATAGGTTAGGTTGAGACAAAAAGAATAAGATAAAATATAATAAAATAAAATAAAATAAATCTAATGTGCAACACTGAGTTGAGCCTCAGATGTTGCTTGGGTATTTTTCAGAATTTTCGCATTTTCTTAAAATGGCCGTAACTTGAAAAATATTTGTCAGAAACAGCTCAAACTTGCTACACAGCATAAGGACATCAATATGTATCAGAAAATGTAATAAAAAGTAGAGGAAATTTCGGAGCTATTTTTGGAAAAAACCATGGGCTATAGCCTTGGAAATTTTGGCATTTTATTAAAATGGCCATATCTTGAAAAATTGAAGTCGGAATCACCTGAAACTTTTTAGTTTCTACACAGCATAAGGATATCAATATGTATCAGAAAATATAACAAAAATTAGGGGTGATTTTGAAGCCATTTTCGGAAAAAAACCATGGGCTTGGCTCGTTTTTCGAAAAATCAGCTTGTTCATAAAAATGCTCATAACTCAAAAATTATGATTTTGGTGGAAACAGCTCAAAGTTTGTGCATAGCATAAGAACATGTACATGCATCAGAAATGTAATAAACTAGCTACTAGCTCTATACCTTTGTCCTTTGTTCCTCTTTCTCTCTTTCTCTTTCTTGTGGGTGGAGACGTACTCTGCTCTGACCAATCGTTGTGTAAAGTCGTTGGAGCCAACTTGATTGGGTTAGGTTTCGGTGGAGGTGTGTCTCTAGTTAACTCCTCCTCCTCCTCTTCCCCCTCCTCCTCCTCCTCCTCTTCATTGTCGGTATCTGCTGCTGCTGACAGTGAGGGTGGATCTGCTTGAGGTTTATCTCTCTTATTCTAGCAACAAATTATTAATTATTATTATTAATTCATTATTATATAGAAAATGGAATAATAATTACTGTTAGAAGTTTTGGAAGACCAATCTAACTAAAAATGAGAGGAGGCCCAGGCTAAATATGAGAGATCAGAAGCTGAAAATGAACAGTAAATGAGCAACAATCAGCTGCTATATTGAGCCCTGATGCTATTATAATCAACAATAATCTTCATTACGAATCACTTAACATAAGAGTCCTAATACTGTATGTACATACTTTGAAATAATCCAGTGACTCCATTAATCGTCTTATTTTAGCTTTCTTCTCGTTGAGTACCAGCTTGAATTTACCAAAAAGATCTTTTTCAATCTATAAAATCAAGATAAAAATTAATTAAATTTACTACTTCCTTTACAATTAATAACCAACTATTGCGACAAATGTAATTGGTATAGTACAAAAAAAATTCACAAAAAATTAGTGAAAAATTATAGCAATAAAACTTCAGGCCACACAGTAAAACTACATGCATAAAACCATTTTTCATTCCTCTTCTTTCTCTTCTCTTACTTGATCCTTCATGTTAACGGTTTCTGTCAGTCTCTCAATGAATCCACTCCTCTCATCGGTAAGCCTCTCCCTCTCTCCTTTCAACTCTTCTATGATGTCTCTCGAGTTGGAAACCATCCCCACAGCATGTTCCAGCATCTTCGAATGGATCCCGGGGGCGGAGTGAGTCTCCATGACAACTGAGCCTAGAAACACCTTTATGTTGTCCTTGACTAGGTGTTTCTTCCATGCAAACTCTAAACTGTTGTCGGAAGGTGAGAGGGTTGTAGTGTAGACAAAGGAGCCCTCGCCGCCCGTAAGTGCAGTACATGTATCGTCAATGTATTCTCTCTCGGAGCTTTTCGATTTCTTAGCGGTCTCTCTTATCTGCCGATAAGTGACCACACCTACCCAGGTCTGGTGGGCATCGCTTGCTTGCATGTACACATGTTCCGAATTGATGTTAACAAGAAGGTAGAGAGATGGTACGTCACCTTCGGTCTCTATTTTAACCAGACGCTCGTTCTTGTACTTTTCCTCTTCCATGGTGGATCCTAAGGTTTGGTGTTTTGTAGGTGTGGCTTGAGGAGCAGTAGTAGGCGTGGCCAGTCGAGGGAGTGTCTCCTCCTCTTCTGCTTCTAGTGAGAAAAGATCTTCCATAAGTAAAAACTAGAAAGAAGCAAAATGATAAATTCAATAAAGAAAAATACTTTTAATATATAGCAGAAGAAAGAGTATTGAGACCACCGAGACAAGTCGATTTAGTTCGCGGCCCGCGCGAACTTAGCCCCGCCCAGTATCCACGCCTTTTAATTTTTATCATCTGCAATTAAGATCGTAATGATAATGAGTTGTATGTAGTGCATAGTGCAGTATAAATAATAGTAATACACAGTTTAATTTTTAAATACAGTGGCATACATTATAATAACAGTTTTTAGTTTGGTTGTATGTCGACGTAATCACTGCTAGTGAGGAACACGTCTGGTTCACTTTCACTCAAACTCGTCTTCTTTCCTTGCTGTGATGGATGCTTCTTTCTCTGAGAGCTGGGAGACTTTGCTGTTTCAGAACTGACAGAGACACTCCTCATGACAACGTAGCTACTCTCGGGTCTTACTGCTGCAGGTTGGAGACCCTCCTGAGGTGTAGTAGCAGCTGAAACCATCTGGACATAATCACTAGATACGGACTTTGTAGCTGCTGGAGGAGGTAGAGGAGGAGGTTGTGATGATTCTGATGTCGGTGATGGTCCTGCTACTGAATGCATTGGAATATATTCTTCTTGTGGTATTGTGAGGAATTTTGGCCTTCTTTCATGCTCGCGTAGCTTAGAGTACGTGTCTCCTCCAGTGTTGATTGAGTCTTCTTGAATAGGAGTCAGCTTCTTGTTAATCTTAGAATAAAGGGGACCAGGAGAAACTTCATCATCAGTAAACACATCTAGGATAACAAAATATGAATTTAAGCTTCAGTTCAAAATGGTACAGGTGAACTACATGTACTATTACAATGCTCAATGCCTACATAGATGCATGCATAGCTGATACCTTCTTCAGCATTGATGTGTACTATTGCTTCAGTCTCCTTCTCTTCTCTTGGTCCTGGTAGCAAAGCAGTGACTGATGCAGTAGATCCACTGGCAGGAGGCAAAGGCTGGGAAGAGAGATCAGGTGATGATATAGAAGCAAATACTTGGGCTGATGGTTTATTGTGGTGTGGTAGCTGGGAAGAGGATGAGTAGTAAGGTATGAGATCAGACACTGGCCTCTGATTGCTGTTAGCTGATGAGGCAGCATTGTTTGAATATAAAGGTAGAAACAGTTGGGCTCTCTTCTCCTGCAAAAAGATGAAGCCAATGTAATTTCTAATGCATTGAAGTTCAAAGCATGTATAGTTCAAAGCTAGCATGCCTAGTTCAAAGTATGCATATACATCAACTAACAATCTTGCACTTTGCAGTTGTATGGTAATTTTGTTACTTACAGCATCAGAGTGTTGATTTTCATATAATATGCTGTTATCATTGATAGTGTCATATATATTCTCTCCATCAGTTGATCTCTCTATTACATCACAGTAGTGGTTTGATGGCTGAAGGCTTAGCTCAAATATCTTGTTACGATTCCTTGCACCAGCTCTTGGTATTACCCTCCTGCAAATAAGAATACCACATTACCATTATCTACTCTTGTTATTATTATTATTACAGAAAATCTACAATGTCTATATAGTCATGCTATGTGCAATTAGAGATTACCGTGTAGTGGGAACATTTAGCAGTGCTAAATATTGGTGATTCTATGATTGCAATGCATTAGAGGTTTTTATATTGGCAAATTTGCAGCCTCATGCCATTAAGCATGCTCATGCTCAGAATAAAACAAAGTGGCACTAAAATTTGTCATTGATCTACCAATTAATCACCAAAATAAAACTCCACAAATATTTCCCACTATAATGGTACTAGAGAATAATTATGTACATGTAAAACTTGTCATAATTATTTCTTAACCTTGTTAGGTTCTGAAGTGGAGGATGCTTAGCCTTCCAGTATTTGACAGCTGCCACAGCAACCAACAGCATCATTAGAGCCGTTACGAATGAAATGCTGACAATAATAATGACAAGAATAAGACTGAATGATGATCCTTCGGCACCACGTGAATATTCAACCTGGCCTACATTCACCGAATAATTAGCAACAGTAACCTAAAATGTATTGAATTAAAAGTATTAGAACAGTGATCCTTTGCAATTAATGACTTACAATAACATCAATTTTGAGTCTTGATCCAGTATAACTGATTTCAGGAGCAATACATGTTAATATCTACACAAAACACATTTCAATGCATCAATCATAATAAGCTTAAAATACTCACAGTAGCAGTAATTGACTCAATGACACAGATTTCTTCTTGTATTGTGACCTCTATCTCACTAGGCAATACGCTATCAATGTACTCTCCCTTTAAAACACATTACGATAATACGTACATCAATTTATCATTGATTTTCTTACTCTTATGGTAACAGTCGGTCCTTCCTTGGTAACAATAGAGAAAGCTGGATTAGGTCTGAGTTCAAGAGGAGGAGGGCCAGTGATATTAATATTATCTAATACCAGCACATAAGATAAGCTACTCCTGCCATCAGTTGGACCTGAGTCACTAATAGAAGGTGACCGACACTGTATCAGAGCATCATTATTCACCACACAATACTGGAAAGCAAGAAAAATAAAACATTAGTGGATTATGTTTATCATCATTATAAATTCAATTATTAGTTTACCTGTATGTAAGTAAGATTACTGTGCTTTATCACCAGCAAAGGATTATACACTGATGCCATGTGGTTACCATAAAAGGAGAGTGTGATATCACCACTAAAGGAAAGGAAATGAGAATTAGCAATTATATTTTTGACTGAATCTGAGTATAAATTTTTTTTCTTACGCTGGTATGATCATGTTAGGTACTAGTCGGGTAAGCATTGGATTAGTGCGATACTGGAATCTTGTATCAGTAGATACAGTAATGCCATCAATGACAATCTCAATGCTACCAGACCTCACAGACTCTACAGGATCAGTACGGCATGTCATGGAATCACGCATCAGCTCTCTAAAAATGATTTGAGCAATAAAATTACACAAATACATACTAAATGGCAATAATGAAATTCTTGAGATTAGTTTTTAGCTTTTAAATAAATGCTATCCTTACATTATGGTACAGTTTTTTCCTGCTACCAGTATGTATGTTAATGATGGGTTTCCAATGTACAGATAAGACCCAGTGATTGTTAGTAGTGTGCCACCAGCTATTGGGCCCCATACTGGCACTATTCTAGCCACCTTAACATTTTCATACAAGAACTGTGTGCCTGGGTTGACTGTAACCAGCTCTCCACTGATGTTAAGCAATAAGGTAATGTTATATAATCCATTGAGAAGAGTAGGCCCAGTTTCACAACTAACAGCACTACCTATAAAAATATATGTACAGAGTAGTAATTGATATAGACTGTTATATTAGTACAAAAAATGTAGTTTTCTCTCCCTCTTCTTTAAGTCCATCACTCCTTCCTCCTCCTTTATCTTACCTGATACAAATGAAGACTCAATCAATGAGCATTCCACTGATCCAATATCAACTGAGAGAATATCATAAAAATTGAGAGGCAACTCATGAACATACAGTGTCAATATCGTACCACCAGATATTGAGCCAGATAAAGGATACACCAAACTATAAATGAATGAATGAATGACTTAATAATACAGTCAGATTACTTACTTAATGGTTGGTTGAGGACATTTATGTAGTGTATCAATGGCATCATTGATGCAGTTAGAGTGACAGCCTCCATCACACCAAACACAGTCAATATCAACCAATTGACTACGCTCAACACACGATGTACAAGAACCACCAAACACTGAACAGTTGTATAATAAAGCTGGTATATCTAACAATAATAAGAATAAATAAAAATAACTTTAATTATGATACAATACCTGTCAGTAATTACATGTATGTACAATGGTGATTTAAAGAAAAGTATTTTGGGTTTGATCATTAAGTGAAGTATAGTACCATTACCATGGGTAATAATATTTGAGTTATCAATGATTTCCAGTTTGTAAGGAACCGATGAATAATGTGATGACCACGTCACAGAAAGACTGACAACTTCACGAGAATCACTGAAAGTATTCACCTTAGGAATAAAAAATTAAAATAATAAAAAATATTCATGGAAGATGTATATATTTCACATCTTACTTCAGTGAAAGAGCACTGTACATGAGTGCTGTTATGATAAGCACCACTGCCTTCCAGTACACTGCTGCCTTGAAACATGTAACAAATATAATCTCCATTAAAAGCCTTTGAAAATAAAATAATAGTAAGAAATTCTTTGTATGTGGAGTTATTTCTTACACTGGATTGAGGAATATTGTATCCTACAAGTAGCACTTCTTTTATTGATGAGATTGATATCTTATAATGTGAATCAGGGACTTGAATGTAAGGACAAATATCATTAACTGAATGAGACTAAAAATCAAGTAATTAAAAAAAGAAGTGAAAAAACTTATCATAACTTAATATTACTAAAATTATATATATATAATTATGCATGCACAAGTATATAAATCAATCAGTTTAATGGCTAACTGGTGTATAAAACCTAAACCTTAATATATCACTAAAATTATATTTCTGCTCTCCTCCACTTTCATTATTATGCATGCACAAGTGTGTAGTTTAATGGCTCACTGGTGTAGCAGGATACCAACTGCTGTTAGTGGTACAGGACAAAGAGCCTCCGCTACAAGTCATATCATCAACACACCAACCGCAAGCATCACGAGAGACACAATGAGTACAACTAACACAACACTATTAATGATAATGCGGAGAGTATGATATAACTTACTTTATGTGTTTGCTGCAATTGACAAGTAATACAGAGTGGGTCATAGAAACAAAGGGAGATTCTTCACTTGACAATTGCAAATGAATATTAATACCTAAAAATACAATAGTTAAAGTAGCAATACTATAATGCTTAAATTAATGTACATATTTACTTACTCATTGTTTCTTCATCAATTGAAGGCAAGGAGCTGATCTGACAGCTTCCATTAATGAACGGACAGTTGTAACTGAAATTAGTCATTGGATTCTCCAACAAACAAATATACTGTTCATTATCTGGTGCTGCTGGAACTGTCCCATTACTAAATAGTGGTATCTATGCATAAGGAAATAAAATACAAGCATTATAAATCTTAGATTACTGCAATAGAGTCTGTAGATATACTGTCCATTGTAGCTTCAATGTAAGGGCAATGGTCATCTTCTTGTATCCAGTGTCCAGTGAGATTGCCATGGTCACAGTTAAATTCAGAGCTGCACTTGTTCTCAACGACACACCAGCCACATAAGAAATCTTGAGTACAATCATGACAGTTATCATAATTGGAGCAATCATCAAGTGGAACAAAGTACACCTAAAAAGAGAAATATTAGAGACTTAAATGTGCAGTGTTTTCCACAAAGCATGCTTCATCATGAACTACAGTACAGCTTTAGAGGAACTTTTAAAATTCATAAAATTTGATTTGAATCAGCTAAAAAATTTATGAGCAACTTGACAATTCACTGACAAGAATTTGCATGAGCATTATAGTAAAATCTTGTGGAAAACCCTGTAATTGTGGTATAATACTTGTGGTCTTAGCAGGAAACAATGATACATATGTATTGCATTGCTGTTTCCTATGAATGATGTGTGTATGATATGCTATTCAAGAGATTGTAGACACACATCAATATATTACTAAATGCATAAGGGAAAGACTGACAACCATACATGCATTTATACAAAGTAATTCATCAATGTTGTGCACATACTGAAGTGTTAGATGAAGCAATGAGGACATTATGCTGTAAACTATAGTCAAAGTGATAGACTGACTCTTCCACATTTACTGTGTTCAGCAATTGAGGATCAGTCTCATTGTAGACCAAATACTACAAAAACAATAATTAGAAATTATATTATGGTGTATTACTTGTGATAATAGATCTCACTTTATTGATTGATGACAGACTAGTGTTATCATAGGCCACATATAAGAGCAATACAGAGTGATACTTAAAGAAAATGCTAGCAGTAATGAGAGCATTCATTTCCAATATAGCTGCATATTGTATGTCTGATCGCATGTGGAGTGCTTCTACATGGGAACTCCCCTTATTAAAGTTGCAATGAGTTGGAGTTGGAGTAGCAGTCTAGAAAAAAACAAAATATAAAGGAAAATGAATAGTTAATATTTTCTTACATCAAATTGGTCACAATCACGTCTTTCACGATCCCATGGTAACTTAAAACTATCCCCAGCAAGGCAGTTAATAAAACTCAATTCCATTTCATTATTAATTGTGCTCAGTCTATACCAATACAATCCACTGCTGCCTTCACTTGCCATTGTAAATACCACAATAGGAGCATTCTCACTAATAGTGATGATTGCAGCATTGACTAGCTTGTTTGTCTTTGGTAGAGTTTTTAGGTGAAGCTCATACAGTGCATCTATGCTGCCATTATTTTTACATATTCTCAGCAAGCGAATGTCATAGTGCTTTGGGTGTGGGTCTTCAACTGCAAAATAAAGGTAGCTATCAGTTCCAAATCCACTCACAAAGCGTCTTTGAAAATTTGAATGAGACACAGAATAGAATGCTTCACCATTAGAGCTAATCTTAACTAAATGAATCAGTTCAAGGGCACTATTTGAGCGAAACATCCCAGCATAAACCAATCCTTTGTAGTAAAAAACAGCACTGGAAGATGCAGAATAAGATAAACCAGTAGGACGATAAACTTCATACAATCCTCTATTATCACTAATGGAGAAGCAAGAACTGTTGTATAGGCACATAGTGACATTGCTGCTACCACTGCAGGCCAGTCCACCATTACTGACATGTAACTGATGCAATGACAAAAGGACTCCTCCACTGAGAGAGATAGAGTATATAGTATTACTAGTAGTTGATACTACTATTGAGCCTCCTAGCCTACAAATGCCATTGATTGCATTACCAGTAGATGGGGAGCTTAGGACTTCAACAGATTGTAGAGTGCTTTTACTAGTGCTGAAAAAAGCAAAAGCCAAAACAAGGAGAGAGAATAAAGACATGTAGGAAGATGACTCTGTCACTGAAGCAAGCCTTTAATCAAAAACTGCAAAAAGACTACCAAACCAATGACATACAGACTAGCTACAGTATAGCAAATATATAGGCAAAGGATAGATATAATGTATTAATAATTGCAATTGACATAAGAGTTACATTAGCAGCTTGTAGGAGGACTATTCAGCATAACAGGATAATCACAATCAGAACTATAAGTTGCTAGATAATAATTCTGTATATTATGCCTACACACAAATGTATTGGATTGTTGTATACTGGAGCCACTGTCTTGCTAGTGATAAAAGGGAAGTGATTACAAGCTACCAACCGTCTGACACTAGTCTACTGGCGAAAGAAATGAAAAACAACTGAAATATAATATTAGGAAGACCTCCAAGGCAAAGGATTTTAAAAAGTATTTATACAGAATGATTTTACAAGGTTTTATACAGAAAAACTGTAATAAAGAGAAAAAGTGGTGATCACTGAGTTGCTACACATATTAATAAAAGAAAAGATGGTAGAAGTTAAAATAATAAGCCAGTACTACAGGTACATGTATCATGATAATTATGTTACTCAGAATGATTGGTGCAGCAATCCTCTGTCCTTTGGTAATGATAGCACCTCATCATTGAATGCTCTTACTTTAGCTTGCAGCATCTAAACAATTCAAAATAATCCTCCTTTATAAAGATTACTTTCTCCTTTTACAATCATAGCACGACAGCTGCACTCATTTTACTAACAAATTGACATGTACATGTACATGTACTCACTATGTTAACGTCTTTTTGCTCATCAAGTGATTTTCGTAGTCCCTGCTCCTCCTTTTTGAGGCTAGTCACCTCTTTCCATACCCAACGGAGTTTACTCTAAATTAAAATAATAATAATAACAATAATAGTAATAATAAAAATGATGTTGTGATACAGAGCTATAAACACTGACCATAACATCGGTTGGAATGAATCTTCCCACCAACGCCTAACAAAAATTAAAAAAATACACTTGTACATAAAGTATTGTACCAGCTTAATAGAGGGCAATTTTGTTAGGTAAAATTTTCATTATTTAATTTAATCCAAAATCAAAATTTAGAAGAAAAAATGTTGTCATAATTATATCTCTACTTTAGAAAGCAAAATATATGGCAGTAATATTTTCATCATGAGGCACATAAAAAAGAATTGATTGTTGTTTTCCCTGACAAAAACTACCTGCTATATATATGGTAATCACTCACTTCAGTATTGACAGTAGATTGACCATCAAGTATCAATATCAGTGAATCAATTTCTCTACTTATTATTAGCAGGAGTGTCTCTCGTTCCTTCAGCTCTTCAGAAAGGCTTCTCTCTTTATCAATCAGTTCTTCCCTGAGGTTGTTTATTTCTTGACAATGTGCCTCATTTATCTTCTCTTCCAGCAAAGCAGCCTATAATTGTACAAGATTATAATGAAACTGTACAAAATTATAATGAAATTTTATAAATGGCACTGGTACAGAGAATTTTTCAAGTAAGCTTTTTTGTCATATTAACAAAATTTACCCCCTCACGCTTAATAAAGTCTTTTGTTATAGATTACTTTTTCTTCAAAGTGTTTCTTAGCTTTAATGTACTTCCTTCTTAGCTTCTCTGAGTCCTCCATTGATCTAATGTAATATTATTGAGATAGTCACACACTTAATAATCATCCCTGTACTTTGTTAGATCTGATCCTAGTTGCTGGTGACCCTCAATTGCTAGTTGATTCTGTTGACGCATCACTTCAGTAACAGATTTCTCATCCAACAATTGTATCTAACATAAAACTTCCTTTAGCTATAGCATGCTAAGTACAGTAATGCATAAAACACTAACAAACATTGTAGATTTAAAAATACTGTTTATTCATAAATGAACTAAAAGCTAGTAACTTTATGTATTGCATTGTAGTTATATATCTAACCTTCAATGCATAAACCTGGTCTTGCAATGAAGCTATGGTCTGTCTCTCCTCATCTATGATTGACTGTTCCTATTAATTCATTATTAATAATACAGTCACCAGAAAGTATGTATGCAGGTACATAAAAGGGGTGCTACAAAACAAGGTAACTAAGCAAAAATTGGACTTTTTAATGAATCTATTTCTTGGCAAATGCAATGTATTATATTCTTACTTTTTCACTTGTATCATTCTGTTTAGGTGAATGACAACAGTTGCAAGTAGTTGGGGTGACTGTTCCAGGATTATTAGTACAACGCGGTGATGATACATGAATACAAGTAACTGGTTCTACCTATAAATAATAATAAATTGCAATTACTATATTAAGTGTATGCTATTGTACCTCTTTACAGTGTAGAGGCTCTCGATAGCTTGAAGACTTTTCTTCTTCCATGTTTATCATATCAAGAGTATTGCATAGAGTCTACTCATAAAACCAATACAGTATACAAATTTATATTATTTTTCATTGATGTGCTACATGTGTGTATACATTATATCTCACTTCATTTGTTTTAGTCAATTTATTTACATCATGTTGTAGGCTAACAATTGCTTTGTCTTTCTCTGCTACCTACAAGTAAAAAATATAGTTGTATAAACATGTAGGCCTTAAATTTACTTTTGAGGATAGTTCCATTTTCTCAAAGCATAGCTGCTTTACATTCTCTAGTGCTTCGCTTAGTTCACACTCCAGCTTTAGCAAATTAGCGAATTAGAGCAATTCCTTTATGTCAACACTTGAAAGAGAGAGCAAGATAAACATACCTTTACAATTAAATCCTGACACCTCTCAATCTGGAAATCTCTCTCCATGATACTCTCGTGTGCCTTCCTTATTTGAAGCTCTTGATCCTAAGTAATAATGATTTAACAAGAGAAGGTAGGAAGAAGGGATGCTGCAGATGCAATAGCTTATAGCTAACCTTCATGGTTTGCTGAGTGTCAAAAATACACTTGCTTAACTTTGACAGTTCTTTCTCCATTTCTCTTACTTTTCCTTCATACAAGTACTGCTGGCTAATGCAGTTGCACTCACAATTGGGTCTATGATTCATCTTATCATGGCTTTGCTACAAAAGAATGGGCCGTAGGTAAGACAGCCAAATTCTTAGCATTTACAACTATTTAACTATTCATCTAATGCTTCAAACATAAAAACCACTAGCATTAATATACTACATGCATATAAGGTTAATATAAAAAACTAATAGTTCTTACTCTTAATGGGACTTGATGATTGACACCTCTACCCCCACAATTCTGCTTTAAGTGTTGCGACAATTGCTCTAGCTCTTCTTGCAAACGTAATTCTTCCTTTAACTTCACTTGCTCCTTACGTAAAATGGAACAGCATGTACAGTACATGTACATGCATGTTTGACACTTTTTGATGTAAATGATGTGTGCAAACATACTTTTAGCACTTCCAGTTGTTTCCTAATATGGCTAATCTGGTCAGAGCCTGCTGAAGATGTTTTCACGTCCTTTAAAGAAAATTTAATTATTATTTTTTCTACTTGTGGTTCACGTACTGTACTATGTCCGCGCTGCAGCGCGGTAGCATTTTGCTGACGAGATTGGCAATCAGCCTGCAACATTCTCTCATTAATTTGCATTAACTGTTGAGCGTCTCGCAATGTTTGAGTTAAGTACTCGACCTACACCATGAAATAGTTTTTAAAACAATTTTTGAGATTTTAATACCTGTTTAGAAACTTTCCTACTCTCAGCCATTGTTGCAGTGAAAAAATATAGGCGGAGTTACACCACCCACCACAATATCACGTGATAATTGGCGGCTGTTTTGGTGGCAACTGAATGTTTCATGGGTGTGGTGCATACGCCCATATCCATGTGCATAGTGTTGGTTTTATTTTTTGACCTTTTGCCATTCGATACTCTAAAGGCTCAAAAGTACTGCCCCAGTCTCATTTCCCTTACCTTTTTACTTCTTGTGTTTCATTTTATCATTTCCACAGTCTCCCATTTGCTAGTATTATTGTCTCCTCTCAAAAGAGCTGCTGCAAGCTGCAACAATTAAAAAATGTCCACAACTGAAGCTCAAATAACTTCCCCTCCAACTCCTCCTGGACACAATGTCCAGACTGTCTCTCCTCCACCCATATCCTACACTAGGAAAGCTGCGAGACAAATAATATCAGGAGGATCTGCAGGTTAATTTTATCATATATATATATATGATTTTATCATAGATATTATTTTCTCACACCCCTTTGAGCTTGAATTTATGCCACCTTGCATTGACCAATGAGATTGCAGTATTGGAGGTCAAATATCTCATTAAAATTAATCAATTGGCAGTTTGGCGCTCTACGCTTATGCTCTATTATTAGCCCATTTGTCAAGCTTGGTCGATTCTTTGCTCGCCTAGCCTGTTAGATATGTTGTATGTATGTCAACTGTGGTCTTATTATCAGCAGCTGGTAGTTGTTTTTCAAGTGTCATGGTAGAAGTTGGTTATACGCCCGCCTCGGTATCGGTTTCTATGGCATTTATTAACATCTACCTCTGTGTATAACCTATGCATATAATATGCATATTTATACAGTACAAAAAGGTCCAATACATGTATGGTTGTTGCATTGTACTTTAAATTGGTTGATAGCAAATGTTTTGTCTTTGCTTCTTTGCAGTGATGCTGCCAAGTATCATTTGTATGGTTTTCACTTTGTGTGCTCTGTGTAAACTATGACCATCAGCCTACTGAGCCTAGCACATGTACATCTACATAAGCAGATTTGCATATTAGTAGCAAATATAAAGAATAAAAAGGAAACTTAGTCTTCTTTTTAATAGTAATCATGATAATCCAAAAAGATTTATGGTAATGTAATGTTGTTATCTTGTTATGATATCATGTTTTGATTCTTGGTTCTTACTCTCCTTTCTGTTTCTGTCTGTCCTTTCTATATTGTTTACTTTAGGGCTGGTTGAGATTAGCATCATGCATCCACTTGATGTAGTCAAGACAAGGTGAATGAAAGAAGACATTATGTCTGAACCCATGCCCACTCCATCTATCCCCTCTTTCTATTTTAACAGGAGTCTATAATGAAGAGGGAGTCTCTCCTTCCTTATTATGGACTCCTGATTTTAAATCTCCTCATTCTTTATTTGTCAATTGATTTTCTCCATCTCTCTCTCTCTCTCTCTCTCTCTCCCCCCCCCCCCCTCTCTCTCTCCATAGGTTTCAGGTACAGAGAGGTCCTGATGATCCTACTCGCTACAAGTCCTACAGTGACTGTGTAAAGAAAATGATCCGTAATGAAGGGTAAGGAATAAACCACTTTCAATCTCAAACCTTATTCAGATTTCATTTGATATTTGTGTTTATTTTATATTTTGTGTGTACACTGTATAACTTGTAGACAACACACTTGCCAATTATTTGTAATTGCTTACTTTTGTTGTATTTGTAGTCCATTGTCATTTTATAAAGGAGTCTTACCTCCACTAATGGCTGAGACTCCTAAAAGAGCTACTAAGGTATAATTATGATAATGTTGTGGGTGCATGTATCTTGCTTTGATGTGTTGTTTTTTAGTTTTTTACATTTGAGCAGTATAAGTCTTTGCTGACCAGGAACAGAGATGCAACAGCTATGGTTAGTATTAGTATTAAGATGAACAAGTAACTAGGTTGAGCATTAGAAATATTTTAAGTTCCAGTTGGGTTATGCTTTTGCTGACTGACCACTGGGCATTTTGGTTTAAGTCATTTCCTTAAATTAAAACTGTTTTGCTGCACACTGTTTTGCTGACTGTCTTTCTTTATATTGTACTTCCTTTTCACCAGACCTATATAATAGCTGGTACTGGCTCAGGGATTACCGAAGGCATAATGATCACTCCTTTTGAAAGAGTTAAGATATCACTCCAATCATTGCGCTCTCACATCAGAGATGTAAGTCCACAATTTAAACTCTCATTATTATTATTATTATTATTATTATTATTATTATTATTATTATTTAATAATGTTAATAGACTCCAGGGACTTTCTCTCATGCTCGTGTTATCATATCAAAGGACGGTTTTGGTCTCAATGGTCTCTATAAGGGACTTGGAGCTACAGTATGGAGGCATGGGGTTTGGAATGCAATTTATTTTGGATTCTATCACAATATGAAGGGATTCTTCATTAGTTCAGAAGTACTATTATTATTATTATTATTATCATAACTTAAGAATTTCTTTATTTTTTGCAGTCTCCATCAATTTCCAAGAGACTTGCTCTTGGTACTATAGCAGGGACTATTGCAAGCACTGCTAATATTCCGTTTGATGTTGCTAAGAGCCGTATCCAAGTATGTATGCATGTACATATAATGTGCAGGCAATGTATAGAATAAAGGCCTTTTCACACTAGCAAAAGTAATGCACATTTATCATGTTCACACTAGAGTGGTTTCAAATTAATGTGACTCACTCTCACTTCACCTCCAGAGGTGGATTGATGTGAAGTGATGCATTGTGATCAATCTAAACCAATGGCAACAAGAACACAAAATGATGCCAATGTGAAAAGGCCTTAAGACTGAAATGAATGTGGGCCTGTGTCATAAGCATATCAATAAATGAATACTGACTTGTTTTTTTGAGGAGCTATGTTAAATGCAAAGTGTCACCTTGTTTATTTATTAATTGCAGGGTCCTCCTCCTAATGGAGATATACTCAAGTATAGAACAACACTTCAGACGATAGGAGTGGTTTTTAAAGAGGAAGGGTATGAAGGACACATGCACTCTTCTTCCATTGGTTACATGTGATATTTTTATGTCTCTCCTTTCTTGTAGTTTCTTTGCTTTGTACAAAGGTTTGTTGCCAAAGCTAATGAGATTAGGACCAGGTAAGCACATAATCATGATAGTCCATGTTTTTCACATTTTCTGGTACATTTTGATGTTTTTATGCTATATAGGAAGTTTGGTCTGATTTCAACTTCAAGTTATGGCCATTTTAAAAAAATAGGGAATTTTTGAAAAAAGACTATAATGGTATTTTTTTGAAAAATGGCTCCAAAATCGCTGCAAATTTTTATTACATTTTCTGATACACATTGATGTACTTATGTTACGTAAAAAGTTTGAGCTGATTTCGACTTCAATTTTGGCCATTTTAAGAAAATGCCAAAATTCTGAAAAATACATATTTTTTCCAAAAAATGGCTCCGAAATCACCCCAAATTTTTATTACATTTTTTATACATATTGATGTCCTTATGCTGTGTAGAAAGTTTGAGCTGATTCCAACTTCAATTTTTTGAGTTACGGCCATTTTAAGAAAATGTCAAAAATCTGAAAAATACCCAAGGCTATTATAGCCCATGGTTTTTTTCAAAAAATGGCTCCGAAATCATTCCAAATTTTTATTACATTTTCTGATACATATTGATGTCCTTATGCTATGTAGCAAGTTTGAGGTGATTCCGACTTCAATTTTTTGAGTTACGGCCATTTTAAGAAAACGCCATAAATCTGAAAAAATACCCAAGGCTATAGCCCATGGTTTTTTCAAAAAATGGCTCCGAAATCACTCCAAATTTTTATTACATTTTCTGATACATATTGATGTCCTTATGCTGTGTAGCAAGTTTGAGGTGATTCCGACTTCAATTTTTTGAGTTACAGCCATTTTAAGAAAACGCTATAAATCTGAAAAATACCCAAGGCTATAGCCCATGGTTTTTTCAAAAAATGGCTCCAAAATCACTCCAAATTTTTATTACATTTTCTGATACATATTGATGTCCTTATGCTGTGTAGCAAGTTTGAGGTGATTCCGACTTCAATTTTTTGAGTTACGGCCATTTTAAGAAAACGCCAAAAATTTGAAAAATACCCAAGGCTATAGCCCATGGTTTTTTTCAAAAAATGGCTCCGAAATCACTCCAAATTTTTATTACATTTTCTGATACATATTGATGTCCTTATGCTGTGTAGCAAGTTTGAGGTGATTCCAACTTCAATTTTCTTGAGTTACGGCCATTTTAAGAAAAGGCCAAAAATCTGAAAAATACCCAAGGCTATAGCCCATGGTTTTTTTCAAAAATGGCTCCGAAATCACTCCAAATTTTTATTACATTTTCTGATACATATTGATGTCCTTATGCTGTGTAGAAAGTTTGAGCTGATTTCAACTTCAATTTTTTGAGTTACGGCCATTTTAAGAAAATGTCAAGAATCTGAAAAATACCCAAGGCTATAGCTCATGGTTTTTTTTTCAAAAAATGGCTCCGAAATCACTCCAAATTTTTATTACATTTTCTGATACATATTGATGTCCTTATGCTGTGTAAAAAGTTTGAGGTGATTCTGACTTCAATTTTTTGAGTTACGGCCATTTTAAGAAAACGCCATAAATCTGAAAAATACCCAAGGCTATATATAGCCCATGGTTTTTTCAAAAAATGGCTCCAAAATCACTCCAAATTTTTATTACATTTTCTGATACATATTGATGTCCTTATGCTGTGTAGCAAGTTTGAGGTGATTCCGACTTCAATTTTTTGAGTTACGGCCATTTTAAGAAAACGCCAAAAATCTGAAAAATACCCAAGGCTATAGCCCATGGTTTTTTTCAAAAAATGGCTCCGAAATCACTCCAAATTTTTATTACATTTTCTGATGCATATTGATGTCCTTATGCTGTGTAGCAAGTTTGAGGTGTTTCCAACTTCAATTTTCTTGAGTTACGGCCATTTTAAGAAAATGCCAAAAATCTGAAAAATACCCAAGGCTATAGCCCATGGTTTTTTTTTCAAAAATGGCTCCGAAATCACTCCAAATTTTTATTACATTTTCTGATACATATTGATGTCCTTATGCTGTGTAGAAAGTTTGAGCTGATTTCAACTTCAATTTTTTGAGTTACGGCCATTTTAAGAAAATGTCAAGAATCTGAAAAATACCCAAGGCTATAGCTCATGGTTTTTTTTCAAAAAATGGCTCCGAAATCACTCCAAATTTTTATTACATTTTCTGATACATATTGATGTCCTTATGCTGTGTAGAAAGTTTGAGCTGATTTCAACTTCAATTTTTTGAGTTACGGCCATTTTAAGAAAATGTCAAGAATCTGAAAAATACCCAAGGCTATAGCTCATGGTTTTTTTTCAAAAAATGGCTCCAAAATCACTCCAAATTTTTATTACATTTTCTGATACATATTGATGTCCTTATGCTGTGTAGCAAGTTTGAGGTGATTCCGACTTCAATTTTTTGAGTTACGGCCATTTTAAGAAAACGCCATAAATCTGAAAAATACCCAAGGCTATATATAGCCCATGGTTTTTTCAAAAAATGGCTCCAAAATCACTCCAAATTTTTATTACATTTTCTGATACATATTGATGTCCTTATGCTGTGTAGCAAGTTTGAGGTGATTCCGACTTCAATTTTTTGAGTTACGGCCATTTTAAGAAAAGGCCAAAAATCTGAAAAATACCCAAGGCTATAGCCCATGGTTTTTTCAAAAATGGCTCCGAAATCACTCCAAATTTTTATTACATTTTCTGATACATATTGATGTCCTTATGCTGTGTAGCAAGTTTGAGGTGATTTTGACTTCAATTTTTTGAGTTACGGCCATTTTAAGAAAACGCCAAAAATCTGAAAAATACCCAAGGCTATAGCCCATGGTTTTTTTCAAAAATGGTTCCGAAATCACTCCAAATTTTTATTACATTTTCTGATGCATATTGATGTCCTTATGCTGTGTAGCAAGTTTGAGGTGTTTCCAACTTCAATTTTCTTGAGTTACGGCCATTTTAAGAAAATGCCAAAAATCTGAAAAATACCCAAGGCTATAGCCCATGGTTTTTTTTTCAAAAATGGCTCCGAAATCACTCCAAATTTTTATTACATTTTCTGATACATATTGATGTCCTTATGCTGTGTAGAAAGTTTGAGCTGATTTCAACTTCAATTTTTTGAGTTACGGCCATTTTAAGAAAATGTCAAGAATCTGAAAAATACCCAAGGCTATAGCTCATGGTTTTTTTTCAAAAAATGGCTCCGAAATCACTCCAAATTTTTATTACATTTTCTGATACATATTGATGTCCTTATGCTGTGTAAAAAGTTTGAGGTGATTCTGACTTCAATTTTTTGAGTTACGGCCATTTTAAGAAAACGCCATAAATCTGAAAAATACCCAAGGCTATATATAGCCCATGGTTTTTTCAAAAAATGGCTCCAAAATCACTCCAAATTTTTATTACATTTTCTGATACATATTGATGTCCTTATGCTGTGTAGAAAGTTTGAGCTGATTTCGACTTCAATTTTTTGAGTTACGGCCATTTTAAGAAAATGTCAAAAATCTGAAAAATACCCAAGGCTATAGCCCATGATTTTTCAAAAAATGGCTCTGAAATCACCCCAAATTTTTATTACATTTTCTAATACATATTGATGTTCTTATGCTACATACATGTAGAAAGCTTTAGCTTATTCTGACTTAATTTTTTGAGTTATATGGCCATTTTTAAAGTAGCAAATTTAGGGAAAAAGCAAAAACTATATTCATGATCTTTTCAGAATTGGCTCCAAAATCACACAAAATTTCTATTGCATTTTCTGAAGCTTATTTTTGTCTTATGCTATCTATAATTTTTGAGCTGATTCTGAGTGCTTTGTTTTGAATTACTGCCATCTAAAATATGCGAATTTTTGTATAGCTCAAGGCAGACATTAAATCATGTTTCATCCTTTTTCTTTTGTTCCTCTCTCTCTCTCTCTCTCTCTCTCTCCCCCCCCTCTCTCTCTCTCTCTCTCTTTCTCTCTCTCTCCCCCCCCCTCTCTCTCTCTCCTCTCTCTCTCTCTCTCTCTGTAGGTGGTGGGATTATGTTGGTAGTCTATGAACAGGTCTCATCATGGCTGACTACTAAAGGTTTTTAACATGTACCATAAATCTTTTGATGATAATTTTATCATTTAACTATAACATGTACTATAAATCTTATGATGATAATTTTAATCATTTAACTATAACAAAATTATTTTATTATGAAAAAAAGTGCATTAGCAGCCACGTGTGATCACGTGGGTCAATTTATCTAGCCACACCCATTATACCCCGCCCATCCGTAACACATGATGGATCTCTTTGGTAGCCTCCCTCCTCCTTCTGCTCCCTCTACAGACAAGAAACCCCCACCAACCGGTAGGCCAGGCCCCATTAAACCCCATCTATCTCTTACTATAAAATTAGAAGAAGCAAATTTAGGACAATCAAGAAAAAGATCCGATCACTCGCCACCATTATCTAATGATGCAGCTGACTCATCAGTTAAGAAGGTGAAAGTTGATGGTCTGTGTATTGAGACTGGTACTGTATCCATTGATCGTTTGTGTGTGTGTCTGTATAGTGACATTAAGTCGGTATCAGTTGAGAGGGTATCACGGGGAGAGGAAAGGGGAGAGAGAAGAGATGCAGGACTCTCACGTTATCATTAACAACATGATGGAACAGTTCCCAACTCTCTCTAATTCACCGTATGTGTCTATGCTCTTATGTATCGATTGTCTTAGAATTTATTTTTTAATAATTTAATGCGAGATTTGTACTATTCTAATTAATGCCTGCCATGTTCTAATTAATGCTCATTCAGGGTTAGCAGTGTGTCTTATTATGGTGTTTTTGATGGTCATAGTGGATCCCGTGCCTCTGAGTTTGCAGCTGGTAATCTTCATAGAGTCATCGTTAATAAATTCCCAAAAGGTAATACTGATTAATAATAATAATAGTAATAGTTATAACAAAAAAGTGACAAAAAGGCAAAAGAAAAAACTAAAACAAAATTCATTTATTTTGTTTTTTTTATTCAGAGGATGTCTCAGCTCAGTCAATCAAACGCTGTCTTGTTGATTCTTTCAAGAAAACTGATTCCGATTTCTTGTCGCTTGCAGCAAAAGCGACGCCGAGTTGGAAGGATGGCTCAACTGTTGCCATCATCATGGCAATAGATAATGTATTATATTCAGGTATTTTAACAACCTTCCACCAATTTACTGAAATTGTGATAATTTATATGCAATACTGTACGGGGCTTTTATGTTGTTGGTGTAAAATTTTGTGAATTTGTCCAGATTTGCTATTTATTAGTATGAATCTTATCTTTTGCAGCCATTTTTTTAGAGTACCATACCTCTTTTGTCAAATTTAATATGAAAATTTTAATGAAAACACAAAATGATTGAAATTTAGACATAACCTTTATACTGTATATAATAATTTTTGGTTGTTCCAGGTAATCTTGGTGACAGTAAGTCTGTTATATACAGGAGAAGTGGCAAGGGAGACACTGGAGGAGAGCCTACTGTAGTATCAGTTCCATTAACTAAAGATCATACCTCTGCCAGTGTTAGTTACATTTTTGATTATGATTTTTTCATTATTTTTTGTTTTTTTCAGTTGGAGGAAAGGAAGAGGATAGAAAAATCTGGTGGATTTGTTAGGTGCCTATAATCAATCATTCTGTTATTATTTTTATTATTATTATTATTATTATTATTACTATTATTATTATTATTATTATTGTTATTATTATTATTATTATAGGGAAGGACGTATAATGGGTATTATGGAGGTCTCTAGGAGCATTGGTGATGGGAGGTTCAAGGGGTGTGGCCTTGTAGCAACTCCACACGTCTCACGATGTGAACTGACTGAGAATGACCTGTAAGTATGAATGATTACACCATCCAGGAATAATAATTTTAATAGCTCAAAAAATATTGTTTGAATTGGCTCACACTAGATCGATGTATAATAAATTATTGGTATTTTTGGAGCAAGAAAGCACATGATAATTATTATATTTATATTGTTTTAATTATTTTATATTTTCTATGTATCAATTTATTATAGATTTGTAGTGGTTGCTTGTGATGGTTTGTGGAATGTTTTTAAAATGGATGAAGTAGCAAAGTTTATACTAGGAGTAGTCAATGTGAGCATTATTATTATTATTATTATTATTATTATTATTATTATTATTATTACTATTTTTACTATGGTGTTACTTTATTTAGGATGAATCTATTCAGAAACCAGGAGAAGGTGCATATGTAATGTATTCATTATTTTTAATGCTGGATCTTTTTGTTGTTTGTAGATGATAGATTGATTCAAGGCACTGAAGTCATCGGTGATAGGGAGTATAGGTTTGAAGTGGCTTGTAACAGGCTTGCAGTTGAAGCAGTTAAGAGAGGGTGTACTGATAATGTAACTGTTCTTATTGTTGACATTATAAAGAATAACAATCATTAAGAAATTAAGTAACAGTTAAAGCACTGTGGAGTGCCACATATAATTCATTTTATGCAATTCGTGGCAATAATGTGTGGTGATAAACCAGCAGGGCTTTAGTCCCAATATTTCATTTTTGTGGCTTCTATCTAATCATGGATGCTACTATTAATTAGATACAGTCTTGGCTCAAAGAGAAATGTTGCCCATTATTTTTCTCTTGCTATTTACGTTCCCTGTTGAGAGTTTGACGGAGAAGAAGTCTCTCTCAGTTGTCATCTCAGTTCCACCAATGTCCGGCCATGTTTTGAACATGTTAATTTTAGGAAATGCCTTGAGAGAGCAAGGGCACAACGTCACCTTTCTACTTCCCGAATACACTGATTACAGCAAAGGGAGGGCTCTCTGTAAGGACGCTGGCTTTCCTTACATACCCATACCAGTCAACAGCAGCTATTATGAGATACTGGAGAATGCCAATAGAAAAGGGTCCACTTTGCAGCATATGATGACTGTTGTGGAAGAGGTCATATTCAAGTTGCATTCATCAATGGAATATTTTATAGAAAATAATGGAGCTGATTTCAGGCAATGGGACGTTGTTCTATTATCTGATTGGTTTGCTAATTGGTTTGCTGGGAATTATGCTTGTGACGAGGCTATGAAGCATCTACGCATCGTTGGTGTTGCAGCTAGTCCTGTCCCATTCACAATACCTTTGTCTCCTTCATGGCCTTTTCCGTTGGTGAATATTTACCCAGACATGACGGAGGACTTGTCATTTGTTGATCGTTTCAAACTGGCAGGCACAAATATTGTTACAAAACCTTTGGAAGGTTATATTAGCTCTCGTACGATTTCAAAGAACCAGGAGTGCTGGGATGAGAAGTACAATAGGTACTTGCCACTTGGTCATGCAATACCTCTAATATTCACTACTGTCATTGGCTTTGAGTATCCAAAGAGTAATCTTCCATTAGTCGATTATGTTGGGCCTTTTATTTCAAAGAAACCTGATCCTCTACCATCTGATATTCAGTCTTGGCTGGACAGTAAAAAAGAAAAAAGTGTAGTCTACATTTCAATGGGCACTGTTGTGCACACATCTCAGAAAATTGCACAAGCATTTTACAATGGCATACCTAATGACTATTCAGTTTTGTGGTCGGCTACTAGTGAAATTATTTTAGATCTTGTTAAAAATGATGATCGTTACCTTGTTAAGAGCTGGATACCACAGATTAGTGCATTGAATCATCCATCAATATCATTAGCTATTCTTCATGGAGGAGCAGGAGGAGTACACCAAGCACTCTATTTTGGAATACCAATGATTGTCATTCCCATTGGTGGAGATCAACCAGGTAACATTGCAAGTATAGGAAATTATATTGAAATGAACTGCATTATCTGTTTTGTTATCTATAGGTAATGCTTTTAAGGTACAATATTGGAAACTTGGAATTCATTTGGATCACAATGAAATTACTCCAGATGATTTGAAACAGAGTATCCTAAAGATTGAGTCAGGTCCCTACAGAAACAATGCTAAAAAGATGAGTATCATAATGAAGAATGCTGGAGGAGTAAAGAGAGCAGTTGAGCTAATAGAGTTCTATGCTGCAGTAGGTTATGATCATCTTGTACCTGCTTATGTGAAGTATCACTGGAGTTGGATTCAATATCATAATGTTGATGTACAAGCATTGCTGTTAGCTATTGGAGCATTGATGCTATACTTGTGTTTCAAACTAATCAAGTGTATGTGTCAGTGTTGCTGCTGTAGGAATGCAAAGGAAAAGAATGACTAATAATTTTAATAATTGTTTAAACTATATTCATTAGATAACAACAAGAGTAGTCTAGATTATCTACTCTTGATAACAATCAATGATTGAACAGTGGGAAGGGCTGAGAGAATTTTAAAAAATGAAAATCCTCCTTCTTCTGCTCTTAGTTGGATGTTATAGATCAAATAGTGAGAAGCAAGAAAAGAAATCACTGTCAATCCTCCTTTCTGC